TCTAATTAAACCTATGGCGAGGCTTGCTTTCAAGGGTCAGATTCAGATGTACCCAGTTCGGGCGGGAGCCTAAGGGCCTGAAGCCTTGAAAGCTGAAGACCCTAAAACCCAAAGCCCGAACCCCCCCCCTAAACCCTAAACCCTAAACCCTAAACGCAAAACCCCTTGTTCTTTCGCGCCTGGCTTTCAGAAGCGGGTTGGCCTTGCGTCGTCAGGGCCGAGGCTGGAGCAAAAGAACCGGGTTTAGAGGGTTTTCGGGTCGAGGGTTTCGGGTCTAGGTCTGCGACTTAGAGGAAGGGTTCGACTGCTTGACAAATTCCCGGTTTGAAAGCTTGTTTGGGGGGGGTTCCTTAAGGGCTCAATTCACCAAGCATGTTTAGGTAAGTGCAGCAGCTTCTGATGCTACTTGTACGGTTCTGGTTCGATCCAAGGGAGATGCAAGCTGCAAAATTTGACCTACTACGTAAGGTCTTAGCTGTATATAGCGTCGCCAGTTGGTGTGTGGAGGCTGTAAAGGGTGTCGTCTGTCAACATGTGATTGGCGTATGAAGGTCTCTGCAGGCTGTAATTGCTTGAACCCTGAAACCACAAAACCCTGAACCCCTAAACCGCATATCAGTTGGGGGTTGAGTTCAGGAAGTTGCAAACGAAATCGCTGAGGTTGTTCTTCCGGAATGCATGTTCATGAGAGATTCAATGCAGATGCAGATTCTTGCACGCGTCGTCAAAGCTTTAGAGCCCAAGACCATCTATCCCAAAGTTACTAACACCTTCAACCTTGAAGCTTGGATCCCAAGCCTTGTGATACAGCGGCACTCCAGCAGATCTCTAAGGCAAGGCAGCCTCCGAGATCTTCGAGACGTGAACAACTTAAGCTTTAACTTCGAAGCCTGCAAACCCTGTTGAAAAGCTGAAGTTGCGACACCCTAACCTTGAGAGTTCAAAACCCTGCGCTCTAAGCAAAACCAAGTCTGAACCCAAAGTCAGAAAGAGTCTTCAGCCCTGAATCCTAAACCGTAAAGTCCTTGAGCCCTTAAGGGGCAAACAACCGACGCTGCCAGGCGATGGCGGCCAGACAGCCCAGCCTGAACTCCGAGGAGCACCGTTTTTGTTTTTGAGGGGGAGGGGATGTTGAGGTTTTGGTCTCGGTGTGTGTGTGTGTGTGTGTTTGTTTTTTTTGGAGGGGCTCGTTCGGATCTTTAGGTTAGGGTTTTGGCATTTCGGGGTTATGTGGGGCTGTGGGGTTTGTACTTTGGGGTGTGTGTGTGTGTGCAGTGTGCATGTGTGTGTGTGTGTGTATGCGTTTACCATTCGCTCCCCCCGAGATTGCAATCCTTGCGAAGTGTTACCAGTTTTTTGTCTTTTATTGGCTTCAACTCGAGGGGCTCAGTGGCTGTGTCGTATTCTTGTCACTGGCTCTCTTCGAGTTCAGGGTTCAAGGGGGCATGCTTCGAGTTCTACCAAGCATCGTGGCCCAACCCTAAGTCCGGTTCTATTTGTGTTGTAGTGTATTGGAAGCTGTTTCTGCTGTAGCATGAACACATAGACTAACACGAAAATGCTCACTCGTAGTCAAGACTTACAATAGGCAACTCCTGTGTGAAAAGACTCCGCCAACAAAGATCCTGAAAGCGGCTTAGTATGTCATGACCAACAGATACGGTTTCGAGTTCATCGGGCTTCCAGCCTTGTCCAGCAGCCCTACGAAAGTTTGTCGGTGTGTGTGTGTGTGTCAACACAGTACAATGGCAACCCAAGTGGAACTAGAAATCAGGTGAAGATCCTACGCAAAAAGCTCGAACATGCTGAGACCTCAAGTTATTTCTGCAGCCCCAACATTGAACCCCTGAAGCCGGAAGGACCCTGCAGCCCGAAAACTCAACATGCTCAACCTCAAGGCCCCCGTGCCCGTGAGAATCCATTGGAACCCTGAGGATGAGCCGCCGCCATCGAAAATCTTTCCCATCGAGCCGCGTCCCGAGGGGTTTGCGAATTGGGGTTGGGTGTCTGTTGGAGGGGTTTTGGAGAGGTTGGGTTGTTTGGTAGGGGCGCAGGTTTGTCAAAAGATCATTTGGGGCTTATCAAGGAAGCCCCGTACGCGGACTCTCTTTTCACTCTTGTGTGGTCGTTGTGTCTGTCCTGGTCTTGCTTCAGCGAGGGTGTCTCGGACTTGCAGAGTGTAGGGCTTGGGGCTCAAGGTACAGGATTCAGGGTTCGGGGCCTAGGGTTGGGGTGTTGCATATCGTCTCGGTTTGGTGTGCAGGCTTTGGTTCTTGGATTCCCGAAGAGGGGGGGTTCCGCAGGCTCCTCACAGCATTGCAGGGTTGCTGGCGGGGAGGACTCCGTGCATCTTCTCTGCGCTGATGCCAATGGGCCTTTGGTGGGCCGTTAGTTTGGTGAGGAAGGTCCACACGTCAGACAGTGAACTCTGCTCTCAACCCCAGCCCCAAAGGATAGGGAAGAACACCTAGCCATGCCAACTTGAAGTTACCACTCCCTACAAAAAACCCCACCGCAAATTCCATCAAGTCGTAGATGCCACTACAATACCGCATTTAATCTGACGGAGCCAGAAAAGACCTGCCGACGAAGATTTGTCATAGCAGATGTCTGGATCGATGCAGCACTTTGTGTGCGGCATCAAGAAGAAATGTCCGAGAATCCCGTCCCACGCCCTCAATTTCTTCGGGGCTGCAAAGCGCTGAGGCTGTTTATCTGCTGTCCCACAGCTGCCCTAAGCTCGGCATGGAGGTGTCGATATTTCGGGGTTTAGGAGGGGTTCAGAGCATAATTTACAGTTGTTTCACCCGTACTTTGAAGTTGTCGGGTTTGTGCCAAAGAGTGGTCGAGATCTCGTTCTTAGATATGGTTTTGGGCCGCTTTGTGAGCTCCAACTTCGAAAGCGCACCAGCCCCGCTGACCCACAGCCTCCACAAATGTCTTCGTAAGGACTGGGTAAGCCGGCTCCGGGTTCTCGATGAGACCGGTCGTCCTAAGGCTTTGGGGTAGGACGCTGCATCCCGAAAGTCCTTCACATCAAGACCCCAAGCCCTTGGCCACCGAAAGTCCTCAACTCCAAATCCCTAACCCTTCAACCCTAAATAGGACCGTGAGTTGGTCTTCATCCTAGGCCTCATATCCTTCTCGTGAAGCCATTGCGCTGAGAAGTCGAAGCCTAAATCCTGAACTCGATGTTGGGATTCAGTTCCAGATTAGGTGCCCTGAACCCTGAGACCTTTCGAGCAGGACCTCGCTTGAAGTCATTCTCAGAGTATGGGTCGCTTAGTTCAAGGCCAGTGTAAACCGCACTCCTTGGGGTGTGGAGTAGCACGCTGTAAAGACCACCATCAAAAGGCTGGACTTTCGGGTTGAGAGCTGCGGTATGAACACGCGGCCAAGAAAGCCACAGGAGCGAAGGAACCCTGGAACCAACCTCCTTACATCGTGCACCCTAAGCTCTAAGCCCCCAAACCTCGAGCATTTTCTGGCCAACCCTTTCAGCTGCGAGCCTTAATCTGTTTAAGTCCTGAACCCTTAACCCTCACCCTTACATGTACAATCCCTGTGTTTAAGACCACCCTGAAACTTAAAACCCTAAAGCCCAAACCTTCAATGCCCCTTCACCGCGCTGTGTTTCGACGAGTGCTCAAAGCCAAGCTCGCTCAATCCGAGTGTCCTCGACTGTCCTGAAACCAGTGCCCTGGCGTCGCATATGTTGAGAGCTTTGTTTTCGGTTTAGGTTGTGTCCTAAAGCCTAATCCCCAAACTTAGCAGTTTCTATATCGTCAAGGGCGAAAACTGCCAATCACACTGATACGAATGGGTACTTAAGTGAGTGCTAGGGCCGTTCCTACTGCTCTTTACGAGTCGCACTGAATACTAGCAGGAGCAAGGCGAGTGACATGCTCCTTCCAGCAGTCCCGGAAAAGTCTCTGCCAAGAGCAGCCATGTTTCCAGGGTGGCGACAGCAATTGAGACAGTTGAAGATCTCCTCTGTCAGAGGAGGAGGGAAATATTCTCCAACTACTGAGCCCACAGCCAACCCTAACCTACAACACCTAACCCACAACCTAAATCTTAGACCCAGGCCAAGAACTCGGAAGGCTGAGCCGCAGGCTGAAAAGATCAAACTTGATTCAACCTCGAAAGCTTTGAAGCAACCCAAAACCGTGCTTAGAGTTTAGGATTTCGTTGCTTGGGATTTACGGCTTCTGCTTGGGTTTTCGGGAAACCTTGTTCAGCCAAGTTTTGGAAGAACTCCACAAGGTTAGAACAAGAACCACAGAAAAAGGGTCCTGAATCAGGAACCCTAGGTCCGGAGCCTAACACTTTGACTCCCGATCCAACATCCTGAAACCCAGGGCCAAGAGCCGCCCAAGTGCATGTTCTGAACACCACAATGTTTAGAGCATTTACAAGACAGCCAAGGACTGCTATGTTCGAGACGCCCCATATGAAGTTCATTTATCCCCAAGCATGCTACCCTCGTAACGGCCACGCCCACAAGAAGGAGGGGAGGATTGAACTAGGCATAACTCGCCCAAACCCACCAAAAGCATGCTTGAACCCCAAACCCATTCGCGCTACAGCGAGGATTGCAGATGTGAGGTAGCGTGCTATGTACAAGCCCCAAACCGTGTAAAAGCCGGGGTACGGACACCATACTTCCTGAGTCTGGCAATTGGAAAAAGTAGGCCTCTGAACCTAACGCCGAAGGAAAAAGGTCTCTAACTTTGGAAGCCATCACCCCTTGCCCCCAGCGAGGTGCGCCCTCTTCGGGAGGCGCCTGTGCATCTGCCGTTTTGGGTTGAGGGGATTTCGGTCTTCGTGAGAAGGTTCAGGTGATCTTAAGGCTTAGGATGACATATCATCACCTCTGGGACACAGGACTCTGCACTCTACAACTTGCCACAGGCCCACTCGTTTCGAGGGGGGAAACGTCTTACCGCCATCGGAGGTTCCCTGTGATTCTCATCACACAGAGCTCCGATCGGGTTGTCATGGCTCCAACCGGCTCCTCCCAGTCGCCCGGCTTTTCACAGCAGTTTATGAGAGGCAGGGGCCCTAAACCTCAAACCCCAAACCCGGAAACTCCAAACCCGAGACCCGGAACCCGTGTTTCTGGAGTTGGGGCTTTGCCAGTTTAGGGTTCCAAGTTGTACTACAAGCCAGCCCCGAAGGCTAAACTCGTGAAGCCTCAACGGGACCGGGTACCAACACAAGAAGGAACATGCGAGAATGGAAACACACACACACCCACACCCACACGCATGGCTCCAGAAGTTATATAGAACACCCCTTAGGCAACTTGCAATGTGCCATCTTTGGGGTCGTTCTGATCAGGGTTTTGGACGCCTAAGCCCTCAACCTGACAGGCTGAACGGCCATACAATTACTTAGACTTACCGTGCAAGCTTCGTTTTTGAGAGCAAAGGGTCTCCAGGATCTTTTACCAAACTGTGACCACCCTGACGATGTGCCCTTTTTGGCCTGTGCCACAAGCCCTAAACCCTGTAACCCGCTCTCAACTCCCAGCCCTCTGAGGAAGTCCTCAGCGACCGTGTGGGGAGCTACAAAGCGCTGTGTTGTACCTGCCGGAGAAGCTTGTCATAGGAAGCCAAGAGTGGTCTTAGCAAACCGGGTTTTGAGTGGGGTTCGGGGTCTCTACATATAATATAGCGATCAAACCTTTGCAAGAAGCCTCTTCGGCTTCCAATCAACTTGGGCTGAAGTAATTCCACCACTGCCAGGATAAGTATGCATGTACTGCTTTAAAAGGCAAGGCAACCCAAAATCTTATCTGTTATTCTTAGCGTCTTGGACTTGGATCTTACATGTCTCGGAAGGTTTTCGACCGGAACCTGTGCTTGGGGTTTTAGGGTGTTGTTTTCCGTTCCGTTGGGGGGGGAAGAGCCCTCCGGGGTTGTGCACCTCAGGGTCTGGGGCTCTGAGACCTTCACGTTTCGAGGCAGAGCAGACGCTTTGGGGAAGGTGTGAGTTTGGTGGTTTGACGTTTAGGGCATAGGGTTCAGCGGTTATGGTTGTAAGAGTTGGGGTTTAGACATCCCAGTGGAAAGGAGCATGATGAGAACCCTAAACCCTAGAACATGACATACGACCACGGCTCGTGCAGCCTGCCGGAACTTGCTGGAAGCCGTGCAACACCTGCTCCAGAGCTTTAGGGTGTAAACCTTCAACCCAGAAGCCCGCCCTCAAAGCCTGAACCCTTCAACCCTGAACTTGAAACCCCCAGGCCCAGACCCCAGAAACCCCCAAACTCGAAACCCCGAGCCGTTCGCACTGCGACGGCCGAGGATGCCATGGCTGGCCACATTGCCCATCTGAAGGAGTTTAGGGCTGGGGTTTGGGGGTGTAGCGTTGGAGGATTTGTTGGATTGATGACTCTGACTCTCCTTGTCCCGTCAGTCCGCGTATTCAGTTATTAGGTTGTCGGTCCCATTCGGCTTGAGTGGTGTCGTGTGGCACTGCCCTGGCAGGACATGGGTTTCTGTGAGTCCCAAGCCAGGAAGGCACTTGCAGAATGTGTGTGGGAGGCTCGCCTGACCGTGGAGGTCCACCTTAGCCTAAGACCCAAGCTCGAAGCCGGGAAAGCCGGAAGATAGCCTGTAAAGGCTTGAAAAAATCGTTTGTGGCTCTTAAGCGATCTGGATGTGTGTATTCCGGGTTGAATGCACGAGGTCGAGTCTCACAGTTATCCACAAAAGCCCTTCGTCGTGTGCATTCGTCTGTACATTCCGTGTCCAGCGGATCTATTCGAGTTAAACGGGTCTTGGAGACATGACTTGGAGCCCTGAAGCCCGTCACTTCACATGACTCCATGCCCGGTGCACGGCATACTGACCTAAACACCAAACCTAATCGCCGAAGATTGCAACAGCCGCGCTCAGCCGAGGATGTGAACAGGGCCATCGACCTCCTCGTGTCACGAGGGGCCGCAGTGCCGTGGACGCAAGGGCAAATGGCTATCTACGATAATGACAGGAGGTTTGATTGAGAACCACTGATGGCAACAACGCAGTATCTATTGTGTGACTAGTACTAATAGCAGTATCACTACGACGGTAAGTATGAGAGGCGTTTCAGAGCATAATTGCTTTCAGACGATACCCCGAATCCTCATCTGGCCGAGGCATTGGCAAAGCCCGCGCTTCCCAAGGGAGGGGCGAAGGACAGCAGCCTTCCTAAAAAGGCAATGAACCCAAACTCCGAGGCCGCAAAACCCTAAGCCCTGACTCCCTGAAGCCTTGAAGCTCAGCAGCTGTGAAAGCCTTCAGGAGAGCAGTGGAAGCAGTGACCACACCGAAGTTGTGTCCAACAAGGGCATAGACTTGGAGACTTGGTGTTTTTTGCATTCAGTGTTTTAGCCTTTGTGGGTAGCTCTGTGGCTTAGAGTTTATGATCTTTAGCTCTTGGGGGGACGTTTGTGGTTTGAGGTTTCAGCTGTCTGCGAGGAATGCAGGGTGTAGGATTCTCAGTTTTCTCGAGGAACTTTGGGTTTGATGCTTCAACCGGTGGGTTGTCAGCTGAATGCTGAACCCCGCATCTGCGGCCCGAGATCCTAAAGCTTCAGCTGGACAGCAAAGGACAACTCTAGCACTGCTTCCGGGGTCTCAACGCCGAGATGCTGCGCGAGCTCAGTCGCGCCGGAATCTGGTCACGGGGAGCTGAAAGACGATGAAGAAAGGAACAAGAAGCTTTGCTGAGCTTTGGGATCTCTTTGTATAAGTTTTTCAGAGGGGGTGTCGTCTTTGTCTAAAGCCTAAAGCGCTGCCTGCAAGCCCGGGCCCAGGAGGTCAATTCGACGAGTTTGTAGAAAAGTGACGTCGCAAGACGCCCAGCAGCTCAGTGCCGATCCCGGGGAGTTCGTTCGTGTCTGGCCCTTCTATGAGACGGAGCTGGGATGGATCTATGCCGAGGATCCTACGGATGCGTCTAGGGCCGGGTGGGTGCCAACTGCGATCCTCGAGAGCATCGAAGCTGGCCATGAGTGGGTCTATGTACAGAAGGCGATGCCTGCCCTTCACGCGAACCAGCTGGGGGTCGAAGAGGGCGAGATCCTGAAGATCAACCTCGCTTCTCGCACGCCTGAGGGATGGGTTTATGCACAGAAGGAGAAGACAGAGGCTGGAAAAGTTTCTGGATGGGTTCCAGTCTGTAGTTTTGTGTGGAATAATCCACAGTAAGACGACAAGGACTTGAATTCGACACTGGCGGAATGCCAGTAGGAGTAGTGAAACAGGGCGGGCAGGCCGGCTGAACAGTTTTGCACTTAGGAGTTTCGGTACACTTCTCTCTATGTAGTGGGAGCCCTGGTGGCTCTTGACACCTTGGCCAGCCAAACTTCCCAGCTCGCCAAAGCTACTCCCTGTCTATCTGCACCACGCAGCTAACGCAGACGGGCAGTGCGCTTTCGAATACCTCCGAAGGCGTGCAACCCCTCCCTCGCACCTTTGCTGCACCGCGCAGAATGCAATAAACGTGTTCTCTGAAAAGGCCGTCAGTGTTCCTACCCCAGGATGGACTTGTCCCAACTCATGTACACTAAAAACCTAAACCCGCCGGGCACAACCCGAAGGCCTAGCCCAAAAATCTGTTAGAAACCTTACAATCTGGGCAAGCTGATCAGTTGCGGTTCTTGTCTCCTGAGCCTGGGAGATCATACTGAAAGAATTTCTGATTGGGGAACTGCTTAGTGCCCTGGACTTGGAGTTTGGTTTCAGAATCTAGAGTCTTAAGATTTTGGCATCAAGGTAGCGAGGGCAGTGTGAACCGTCCGCGGGTTGGGGTCGTGACCTGGGCTTGAGTTATGCCCGTTATGCCCGCAAGCCTAGACCCTAAGCCCGAAACCTAAACCCTAAACCCTAAACTCTAAACCCTAAGCCCAAACCCTAAACCACCCTAAACCCTAAACTCTAAACCCTAAACCCTAAACCCTAGACCACCCTACACCCCAAACCTAAACCGCCCGAGAGCCTCTGAGCCCTTCGAGGTGAAGGCGATTCTGCCGGGCACCTGGCTGAAGCTGCAGGCCCTGGGCGAACGGTTTAGGGTTTGTGGTTTTAGGGTTTCAGGGTTTTAGGGTTTTAGGGCTTTAGGGTTTTAGGGTTTTAGGGTTTTAGGGCTTTAGGGTTTTAGGGTTTTAGGGTTTTAGGGTTTTAGGGTTTGTGGTTTCAGGGTTTTAGGGTTTTAGGGCTTTAGGGCTTTAGGGTTTTAGGGCTTTAGGGTTTTAGGGTTTTAGGGCTTTAAGATTGAGGGTTTACTGGTTCTTGGGGGTTGGGTTTGGGAAGGACTAAGGCGAATAGATGGTGCTTCCTACACCGCACGCTCAGCTTCGTTCCTCACATAGGAGCCTCGATAGTTCGCAACAGTGTCCGTGAGCAGTAGGATGCAACGAAAGCTCCAGGCCCCCTCGGTCCGAGACCCGCGTGAAACCCCAATGCTGCGTTGGGGTTTTTGGGTTAGGGTTTCGGGGTTTGGGGTTTTAGTGTTTAGGGGCTCGGTAAGTTAGCGTTTCGGGGTTGGGGGCGCTTGAGGCGGTTTAGGCCACGCGCCTGCCCCCTCGAACTCTGCGGCCCTGCAAGCGGAACCTCAAATCCGAAGCCGGGCGGGAGGACTGGACACATTTGATCCTGGTGGTGCGGAGCCCGGACGTGTGGAATTCGGGTTTTAAGTGATTAGGACGTCAAGGGCTCTGGAATTTTGGGGTTTGGGGTTTACAAAGCGGCGCTCGGTATGGCTTTGCACTTTTGTTCCCTTCACGGCTGTAGGTACAGGTCTTTAGGTATTTTGCATTTAGGCATTGTGCAACAGCTTTACGGGGTGAATCTTGCAGTTGCGCCTTGTGCTGTTTACAGGGCTGGGGTTTCGAGGTGTGCGTGCATCCCGAAACCCTGAACCCTAGCCCTAGCCAGACACTTGAGCCCGCCTTATCACCGACCCGGGCAGCACGAACTCTGGTACTTCAACGCTTCGCGTGGGCTTTAGATATGGACGGTTGCAGCGCTAGTCGTTTAAATCTGGAGGGCTAGTGTCGGAGTCGGATTTCTAGGGATTTAGGGGGTCTTGATTATATGCTCCCATGTCAAGGTCCGGATTCCCTATTCCCAGAACCTGAATCCTAGGCTGCGAGCCGAAGTCCTAGAGAACCCTAAACTCAAATCCTGAATCCAGTCCATGATCCTAGACCCTAAAAGCCAAACTGAAGGCCTACGTCTTGGCAATAGGTCTAGGATTGGGGAATCATGCCTGCTGCCTGCAAGAGGTTGGGACGATCGCTTGCACCATCCAGGCCAGGCAAGAGCGGACTGGTGTTAGGGTCTCGGGCTTAAGCTTAGGGTATTTGGTCAGGGTTTAGGGTAGTGGGGCGAGGTTTGAGGGCATTTAGCCATTGGCAGGGTGCTGGAGTTAAGATGTTTCAGGCTTAGGGTTCAGGTGTGCGACATCCCCGTGACCGTGAGTTGAGACGCTTCAGATGGCATTGAGGCTTCGGGTGTGAGGGCTGGCTGGTGTTGCTTTCGAAGCGGCAGGCGCAGCCTCCAAGATAAACACACATGGCCTTCCGATAGGCCACCTCGTGCGTACCAATGAAACCCGAATCCTGGAGCCCCTGAGGGAGGGCCTGAACCCTAAACTGGCCCTAAACCTGGAACCCATCAGCCCTAGAGCACCTGAAACTTCAAAGCCGCCGCAGATGCTGATATCCATCGTGACCATGGTCAACAGGGAATGTCGTGACCCTGATTTTTTGGGTTCAAGAAGGATCTTTCCAGAACTACAAATACTGATTCTTTGACACCCCACATGGTCTGGCTAGGCTTTAGCGGCCGGGATTGCGAGTGTAACTTGCCTTGTCCTGCCAAGAGGCCAAACCTCCTCCTTAGATCCACTTCATAACGGCCAAGCCATGAACCAGAACCTGTAGAACGCACTTTGTAGGCCTTCTCGGTTCTAGCTGCAAATAGGCGTCATCGAATTTTTTGAGCCTAGAATTATGAATCGCTCAGGTTTTAGCCCGAGGCTTTAGGGGACAGGTCAAAGGAGCTGGCAGAATGCTCTACGAGCGTTGATGCGGGGAATTGTGACCACCTGGATACCTCTTCCAGTCAGTGAGTGTCAGCTTCGAACAGGGTGGGGAGCGCAGGTGGTGGAGAGACGGGGCAGTGGCTGTTGCCGATCAGTATCGATCACACCAAAGTGAACCGCAAGACTCTGGTTTGGACTTGCGGGATCGCTCGTCATGCTGACATGCCTTAAGACCTTCCCTGACCTGGATGTTTCGTTTTACTTTTACACTTTGCACAACGATCATGCCCATGACGTTGGAGCTGCACTTGGCTACTGATCCGCATGAAATAGATTGCGCCCTGCATGCATCACGCTATGTGGCGTTAGCCCAAACCGCGCCTGAAACCCTGCACCTGGCAACAACACCCGAAGCCAAACACCGCAAGCCGAACGAGGCCAAGAATACACTCTCTGTGCCAAAGAAGTCCTGTCACTGGTGTGCCCGCCTGCAGATTCAGGGTTTCATCGATTCAACCTCGGACTGCAACCCCGTAAACCCTAAACTGCTCAAAACCCGCTCAAACTCCGAGGCCCAAAGCTCAAAGCCCTAAACTGCAATCTTTAAGAGCCACAGCCGCAAGTCAGCACTAAATCTCAAAGCCCCAAACGTTTCGGGCCATGTCTTTCAAGTCAGTGCTGCTTTAACTTAGTTTGAGATGCTTCCCGCAACTTCCGTTCAGGGCTAAGGGCACTGAAGCGCATGCCCCAAGCCTCTATGATGCCAGGTCTTCATTTCCCCTTGCATATGGTACATCTTGAGCGTGATCAGCCAGTATGACGACCGACTCCTGGCTGCAACAGCTCGCGGGTTTAGGGTCCAGGGCAGCTAAGCTAAGCCATGTCAGGTTACATGTCAGGTTACATTGTTGTATGCCCCCCCCCAATCCGCAGTCCATCTTACACGTAAACGCAGCGACAGTGTTCATCGCTGAACACAACAGAAGTTCGGCCGAAAACTGTTGTTGAGAGTTTAGCTGCTGCGTGGTACGATCACTCCGCAGCACCCCAAACCCCGAGCCCCGCTCTCAGCCGTCCCGGAAGCTCCCATCTGCTCTAAACTCCCGATTGAGGGTCTCGGGATTTCCCCCCTTACAACCGCAGACCATAGGCAATGCTACTATCTGAGCCCTAGGCTCTAGTCCTAAGCCCGAACCCACCACGGCCATCGGCGCTCCACGACCCTAATTCGCGAAATGCCTAGGCCTAGCCCCGAGCCTGGATCCAAGCTACTTCCTACAACGCTCCACCCAAGGATGTACGGATTTAAGTTTCGGGGTCTGGGGTTTACCGCGCAGTGATCATGTTATGTGAAGGCTTCACAGCACTGCAGCTGACTAGCCGCAGCCAGGGCTTGAAGTCAGCTTCATGGGACACGACAGAGTCATGTAGAAGCGTTGCTAAACCTCATGAGCGGACTGCAGTCCAAGACTGGGGTTCAACCGTACACACATCAGCTGGAACCCTGCAAATCTCGCGCACCTGAACCATATATCGAAGCCTAAAGCACCACACGTTAGACTGACCTCAGAAGACGAGCTTTTGGCCGAGGCCTCCAAGCGAAACAGCGGGCTGCAAAGCTGGAGAAGGCCCCTCGTTTTCTCATTGTTGCCGCGCCCGAGGGGGGAGCTTCAGATAGACCGGCTTTATCTTGGGTTTGGAGGGTTGTGCAGGGTGTTTTCTGGGTGTATTTACAGCCGTCTCCATGTCTATATGTCGGGAACACCTCCTGGAAGAGCTTCATAGCTCCAGGGTTTGGTAGTTTGTGGTTATGGATGGTTATGGCCTTGGCTTATGGATTCAGTGGTTCACGGTTGAAGCATTCAGGGTTTAACTTAGGGCTTTGAGCTGAAAGTTGCCGGACACTTCGAGGAACCACGGCAATGCCGAAAGATGGACTTGCACCACCAAATTCGGGGCCGACACAGTCCCCTATTGGAACAATGCGACGAGTGAGTCAGGCATTCATGCTCCTGCCGGAAATCAGGCAACCCAGCCCTAGGCGCAATATCACAAAGCCAATGCAACCCCGTCAAAGTATCACGCTGTGAATGTTTACACTACCACTCATTGGAGCACGTGTCGGCCTTAAGCCCCGCCCTCCAAACCTTAACGGCCAGGAAAACCTCGCGAAGTCATACAATGATTTGCTCTCTGACATGGACGGGCTGCTGTCCAAGTCTGCAGAGTCACTTGGACTGAAGGTATGGGCGCTTGTCAAGTGCACATGAGCAGCATCAATATGAAGAGTCAGATTGTCATGGTGGTCCTCGCGTGATGAGTTATGCGATGGTTCCTACTACGTACCATAGTTACTTTTGCTACCGTCATTCTTAGTAGTCATGGTACGAACGGCGACCATGACGACGACGACCTCTTGCTGCTGCTGCTGCCGCTGCTGCCGCTGCTGCCGCTGCTGCCGCTGCTGTGCTGCTGCTGCTGCTGCTGCTGCTGCCGCTGCCGCTGCCGCTGCCGCTGCCGCTGCCGCTGCCGCTG